TGAATCTCCTGTAAGCTGGAACAGAAGACACAGGAGCAAGTCTTCTTCCCTTAAATCTCCTGCAAGCTGGAACAGCAGACACTGGAGCAAATCTTCTTTCCCTCCAATAATAGGACGACACACAGTTTTCGAGTGTAAGCAGGAACAGAATGAACTGAGGCTTTATTGTTTCTTATATACACATTTTCCCACAAGGTTACCACCCATGTTGACGCAGCCAGTTTCAACTGGTCTGGCAGTGTCCCTGGGACAACACCCTGCTGGAGAACAATGGGACAGGAAAAAGGGGGAGGGGAAGAGGCACATTCAAAAGGGGCAGAAAAAGTGTTTCAAAATCCAATAAGCCAAATAGACTTTTTAAATGGCAATACACCCCAGGAGCCATAGTCACAGGGCAGGAGGCTGGCAAGGCCTCTCCAAAACCCAGTGGTGAGGTCCCTTTCGCCACACTCCTGGCCTCCAAATGCAAACCTATAAAACCTCCAATAGTAATATTACAATATTACAATAATACTTATTTTGCTGATTTAAAAAAAAGAGTGAACTGTCTGATAACTCCCTGTCTTGTTGGCCATTACATAGTATCAAGGTGGTAGATTAAAGCTCTAAGAGTCTGATAACCATTGCATCAAAAGGAAGGTAAATAGCAAATGCATAAGCATAAAATAGATGGTTTCATAAAAATGTATTGAACGTAATTCAAAATGTAATATGTCATCTGATATTTAGGACTACCATGACTACACAGACTATATATACATGCTATGATCACTCTGGTGGCAGTCTTTGTAAAGTTTTCTTTTACGTTAATTTACATTTTAGAAATCACATTTTATGAACTAGCCATAGTTTTAATTTACATTCTTGCAGCACAATTTGTTGTATCCATAGCTCTTAGGATGCAATAGCCTAATTGTTAAACAATCTGTTAAATACTAATCTTACAAGTCTTCCAAGTAAATGGGATGTTATTTAAAATGCTACAGAGTTAGAAATTACACTGCAGACTAGGATAAACTCTTAGTTAGTTAAGACATGCAAAAGTTGTAACCAATTGCATACCAAGAAAACAACTTAACCACACACATGACAAAACATGCATCACAATCTAGCACCACTATCACATGCATAAGTGAAGGCCGCTGAAAAAGGTGAAGTTGGATTTTGGGTGATGTATACCTTACTGCCTAGTTGTTAATGTGTTATATTTTGGTTACTATTATTATTATTATTATTGCCATTTATATAACACCAACAGATTCCGTAGCGCTTTACAATATTTTAACAATAAATAGGACTATTGCAAGAAAACTTACAGGAACAATAGGTTGAAGAGGACCCTGCTCAAACGAGCTTAGAAACATTTCTTCCCATGACGATATCATTGACAATCTGATTGTAGATTTGGGGATACGAAATGTAGAGAAACACTAAGTTTTTCTGAAATGTAATATTACAGAATCGTCGTAGATGTACTTTTCTACATGTGTGATTGCATGATTGACTTTTCAGTGCATCATCTTTCATGTAATATGATCTCCCAAAGACTATTTTGGTTGAAACTATACTTACACCTCTGTGCACAATTTTAAAATCAGTTTTACATAAAGGAGTACGTGATACTGACAGCAACATGCATTGTCTTTTATAATTATACACAAAGATAAATAGGGTACCGGAAAACAGAAACATATTCACAAAAAGTGTCAAAAGCTGATTGGATAGATTGCTCAATAGGTATATTTTTGCAATAAGCAGGGTTTTTAAGGCTGCACCACAAATAAGTTTTCTATAGTTTGAATGTTTGTTATTGTACATTTTAAATTTATTCGACAAACAAGAATTTGAAAATGCAATCCTGTAGCTGATGAGTTAAAAAAAAAAAAAAAAAACAGATTTAATTTAACTGTCCCTGATGACTTGAAGCCATCTGTTAACCTTATGAATTGGGCCGTATGTCACAAAAATATGCATACAGTTTCTTGGAATTTTGCTGTTTTTGTCAGTTTTACGATATGGTTTTGTCTTTTTTTTCATGCCAGCTGCTAATTAGAACCCATCAAAGGAACATGATATTAAAATTCAGTTTCTTCCATGAGGAACCGAATTGTGGAAGTTTGCCATGTTACTTCTGTCACACAAGAGAAGAACAGTGTCTCAATGTGTAGAATGAATTAAACAAATTTAAAACTGTGTCTTTTCTCATAATGTTTCCATTTAAATTGATTTACGGACACAGATCATAAAAACCATGTGTGGGCAAACAAAAGAGAATCAGGGAACTGAACTTGTTTTAGCTTAAACAAGCTTGATTATTATGCCAAATTTTAATCCAATTTAAAAAATATTATCTAAAAAACGTTTTTTAGTTTGTAACACATTATAAATGTTCCTTAACAAGAGGTGATTTAATTTATATATTTTAGCCTCAAACATGACATTTAGAAAGAGGTTTGTGTAAAACAACAACATAAAAATCGTTGCACTGGAGTTTTTCTTTTTCAATTAAGTAGATTGTCTTAAATCTACATGGATGTAAAAAAAATATATGTATGTGGGATAATGTTCACGGACATGGCTGAAAGCAGACCTCTGCATCTCACAAGGGATTGTAGGCTCCTACTGCAAACTGAGCATATCACTGCAATATCATAGTCCTTGCACTCCAATTGGAAAAAGTAGAAAAAGTAAATACAAAAATGAGGACAGAGCATATGCCAAAAAATAGACATGTTTTGCATCTGCTCTGGATGTTTCTTCAATTGCTGTATGTTAGTATTCTAAATTAGCATATTCTATACTACTTACATATCCAATGTTTTGAGATTCATTATTGGAGTGAAAGGACTCCATGTGCTTATATTTATGTGCTTGTGATATATGAACTTATATTTATGTTGCCTTGAGCGGACTGGAGTCATGCACCCAGAAGAGAGTTCATTTTGTAGTTCTTAGTATCTATCTATCTATTAATCTATATTTACCTATGACAAGTTAGCATTGGGCACTCTACATCAGGATATATATTGGCAGACTATGATTTTTTTTTTTTTTAACCAAACTCAATATATAGCTTGTAATTCACATAGAGCACTTGAAATTCGCATACGCATGTACTTATTTAAATACTTACTGAATTAGTGCTGAATGGGATCGAAATTTATGTGGGATTTTACGTGCTATATTTTATTCTGCAAATGAAATTACACATGTCCTAGTTTCCATACAGGACTGGGAGGGAAATGATTGATATAGATATATTGGTAAGTTCACAGTAACTCAAGTAGACATATTTTCAGCTCAACTCAATAAGTATCTTGCCAAGCTTGGCTAATAGCGAATACTGCAAGAATGGCATATGTTAAAGGTGCTAAGTCAACCGACTGAGTGTTATGTTTTGCTATTGTAACATGTATGATAGTATCAAAATATGTTTAAAATCTACAAATATCTAAGGTTTCATTTTTCATTGATTTCCCAAGGTGTGCGGTTTATGGTTGCCCCTCATGATGGCTAGGAACAACCTATTTTTAATCATATATCTTTGATAAATATTAACAAACAAATGCCCCATGAGATGACCCCCTTAGGGTTATTTAATCAAGTAAGAATTCAAAGTAAATTTTCAAATTTAAGGCCAACTTGACTTCCACTTAGACTATGTTGACCTTAAATTTTAAACTAACCTCTATTTCACTTTGTATTCTCACTCTAGTAAATAAACATGTCTGGTTTTATTTATCTATATACTCAAGATTTTTATTTTTTGAGAATTTTTCAATTTTTTTAATGCAATTTTTACAAAATTCTGTTCAAAAATCAAATGGGCATAAAAAAAAATTAAATGGGCATTAGTATCTCAGAAACTGGCAATTTTGGGGAATTTTTGTTATGCAGAAAAAAGGAACAAAGAATGAGGAGGGGAATGATCCACACTATTAATAAAAATGGAAGATATTTATATGACATTTGTTTTATTTATTTGGTTAATAAATAGCATGAACATCTTTAGAATTGCAGTGCTGTTTTTGAACATTAAAGGTTCACTAAATGCATTCAGACTACTTAATCTCTATGACATGGTCTATGTATTGTGTCTCTGTAGTTTTTACTCCTCAATGTAAAAATGTTGCCTTCTAGCAGATACAATGTTTCTATTGCAGGGCTAAAAACACCTCCAGTGGCTGTGTTCCTGACAGATACTACAGGATGCTTCTCCTGTGAATCATAATTGGCTCTCATACATCTTCTCTTAAAGTGTCTCATAGAGAGCTTGAGCTTTTCATCCCCAATGCTTCACTATAAGGAGCATTGGATTGGACAAGAAGACAAATAAGCAATGTCTGCTGGATGACCTCACAGGAGGAAGAGAAGGTGGCTACTCCAAATATGTGATTGTGCTGGCAAACAGGTAAGCAAAATATTTTATTTTCCAACTTAATTTAGGGGGAGAGATCCTGAATCTAAACAATGAGGAAGCACTGCAGTATTAGGAATATGTTTGCATAAATAAAGTTTTAATGCTCCTTTAATTCAATTATCTTTATAAACGTATTACATTATATATATATATATATATATACACATACACACACACACACACACAATAGAGAGAGTGAGAGAGAGACAGACAGACAGCAAGAAATAATGTTTATTTAGATGTGCATAGCATAGATCGTGGTAAAATTAACCCCAGATCACCGTGATCGCGGGGTTAATGGTGCTCCGGTCTGCCTCTGTATTAGAGGCAGACTGGGAGCACCCGATCTCGCTGCCCCAGCACCGGTGCTCGCTCTGACAGCCTGTCAGAGTGAGCACGTGCTCAGTATACTCACCTTCCGCCTCCCTGTACTTCCGGGTTCCCTGTGAAGTGCAGGGAGATGTATCATCACTGATCTTGTCCCTGTTAAAAAAATAAATAAAGTTAATTTAAAATCCCACCCCCCTTTACCCATTTTAATAAAGAATTAACCCCATCCCTGCCAATTGATCACTGACTACAGTGATCAATTGGCAGGGATTACATTTTACTATGATCTGATTTTTTTTTTAACCCGTGAGGGTTAATTCTTTTTTTTTTTTTTACCCTCAAGGGTTAAAAAAAAAAAATCAGATCATAGTAAAATGTAATCCCTGCCAATTGATCACTGTAGTCAGTTTAAGTATTTTAAAATTATAAATTTAGCTAGCTGGGGTGGGTGGAAGTTAGTGGGGAATTGGGGGATTTTGGTGTTAGACTAAGTAGGGGTTAATGTTAAAAAAAGTTTTTAAAATAATTTTGAACTTTTCAAAGCTTAAGTTAAAAAAAGTTTAAATAATGTTTAAGTAAAAAATAAAAAACACCCCCCTTTAGCCAGTCCAAATAAAAATTAACCCCTTCCCTGCCAGTCGATAACTGCATACATTGATAAAAATACAGATCACAGTATTATACTGTATATTTTTTAACCCCTGACGATTAACTTTTATTTATTTTTTTTAACCCTCAAGGGTTCAATTTATTTAATTAACTAATTTAAATATTTTATAATTATATATTTTGCTAGCTGGGGTGGGTGGGAGTTATGGGAAAATGGGGAATTTACTGATAATTCTGCTTACTGCTAGTTAGGGGTTAACGGTAAAAAAAAAAGCTTAGAAAAATGTTAAATATGTAAAAAAAGTTTTAAAGAAAATTTAGGAAAGCTTTAAAAAATTAATAAGCAAAACAAAAGTTTAAAAACTAGTTTTAAAAAGTAAAATTTTAAAAAAGTAAAAAAATACATTTAAAAATGCTCATTACCACTACACCTGGAACAAACTAGATAAAAATTATCACACGCCAAAATTCAAAATATGCCTTTTGAATTACCCCAGGGTGTATTCTTTAATAAATAGTATGTGTTTGTGGGGAAGTTTCAATAACCAACCATCTAAACTACTCCAAATTGGAACATGGACACAGCGTAAAACTTAAAAGTTAGAAAAAAAATGAATGACTGTGTCTCAAACGTGCCCCTTCAACATCCACATATACCTGGCAAAGGTACATACGGTGGTATTGCTGTACTCAGACCACATAGCTGAGCAACATATGAAGTATTATACAGTCATAGCACACATAAGGTTTGCAAAATATACTGTGCAAACTCACTTTGTGTGTCAAAAAGGCAGAAAGAAACACTTATTACCACTACACTTGGTACAAGCTAGCGGAAAAATAATCCCACACTAAGGTTCAAAATATGCCTTGTGAAATACCCTGGGATGGTAGGCCTTTGTGGGGTAGTTTGAATTTAAAATCTGCGAAGATGCTTGGAAATTGCACATAGGCCCAGCGTCAAAATTCAAAGTTTGGTAAAAACGGATATGACTTGGTCTCCTATATGGCACTGTAGCTTCACGAAATAGTGCCAAAGACATTCATTGGGGGTGTCTTTTTACTCAGAAGACTTAGCTGAGCATAATATGGGGGGTTTGAACTTAGTGGCACATATGAAATATACAAAATGCCCAGCAAAAATGCAATCCGTATGTAAAAAATGCACAAAATTATTTTTTACCACATACTTTGGCATATATTGGAGAAAAAATGGGGGCATGTTAAGGCACAATATGCACCATATGAGATACCTTGGAGTGTCTACTTTTACAAATGGTAGGCCTTTGTGGAGGTTTTTTGAACAGTCAAACTGTTATAATACCCCAAATGGAGGCAAAGGCTCATTAAATCTGTCACTCAAAATTCTACTGTGAATACTGAAAAGGACAGGTCTCCTATATGGCACTGTAGCTTCACGAAATAGTGCCAAAGACATACAATGGGGGTGTCCTTTTACTCAGAAGACTTAGCTGAGCGTAATTTGGGGGTTTGAACTTAGTGGCACATATGAAATATACAAAAATGCAAATCCGTATGTAAAAAATGTACAAAATTATTTTTTACCACATACTTTGGCATATGTTGGAGAAAAAATGGCTGCATGTTAAGGCACAATATGCACCTTATGGGATACCATGGAGTGTCTACTTTTACAAATGGTAGGCCTTTGTGGTTATTTTTTGAACAGTCAAACTACTATAATACCCCAAATGGAAGCATAGGCTCATTAAATCTGTCTCTCAAAATTCTACTGTGAATACTGAAAAGGACAGGTATCCTATATGGCACTGTAACTTCACGAAATAGTGCCAAAGACATACAATGGGGGTGTCCTTTTACTCAGCAGATGTAACTGAACACAAAATAAAACTTTGTACAGGAATAGCACACACCAACTTTACAAAATACACATGAGAATTTCTTTGTTATAAGTTTGTGTGCCAAAAACCAAAAAAAACACAATTTTACTCCAATATTTAGCAGAGGTTGGCGGTGAAATGACTATGTAGAAAGTGTCAAAATAACCTTAGGTAAATAGCGCGTGATGTCTACTTTATATAAATATATACTTTTGTGTGGCAATTTTGTTTTCTTTTATTGCTATTAAGCTTGCAAGACAAACATACCAAATTCTAAAATCGCTCCAAATTAAAAGTTTATTTTACTCCTTGTGCTTTGTGACCTGTAACTACCAAATAAAACTTAATATCCCAGACACATTATATATTCTGTAAATCAGAACAACTAAATGAATTTATTTTTAATTACTTTCCTTAACCTGCACTAATTGTGCACACATTATTATTGCAAAAACTGTAAAAAAAACATTTCTTTTTGCATTTTTCTGTATTTTTTATAATAAATAAGCATATATGTTACATCAAATTAAAGCCCTTTCTGTCCTTTAAAAAATGGTATATAATATGTGTCGGTGCAATAAATTAGTAAAATGCAAATTGCAGTTGAACGTAAACAGCAAAAAAAATGCAAAAAATGCTGTTGTCATTAAGTGAAAGACAAGCTTCTGAAGCTCTGTCCTTAAGGGGTTAAATATATTTTTAGAACTGCAGTAAGGATTTAATGTATACCAAGAACATATTTGAAAATTGTAGCAACATCAATATGCTAGATTTTCTTCTTATAAAAAGCTTGCTTAAGCATTTTCAAGTCAGTTATATGGTAAAAAAAGTTAAATGAGAAATTGATAATGATGAATAAATAGAAAGCTATACTAATAAAATGCTTTATAGTTTTGCAAAACCAAACTTGCTTTGCTTATAACAGCACAAGCTAAATTGATATTTCAGAGGTTAGGGAAAATCTGTTTTTACTTGATTTCAAAATTAAAAAATATACAACCTTGTTATATATTTAAGAATGTATATATGTGTGTATACATTTATTTATATATATGCATGCATCTGTATGCCTATCTGTCTACTTACCTGTAGCTATCTAGTAGGCAATATATTGCTCTTATATAGTTTTTGTAAAAAGCATAAACAAAAAATCTAAATTGTTAAACTTTTTAAAACTATTTGAATAAATCATACACTATGAAACATGTATCAATATGTGGATAAAACATTACTTTAAGATAATTATTTAAAAAAAAATGTAAATACAATTTGTGCTGGGCTTTGTTTTATTTTATTTTTGAATAAGCATTTTCACCTTTAGCTAATTACTTGATATATTGGTATGTTCTCTTGAATCAACAATATGTCCTACAGGTTGTATGTCCAGGCATGGGACAAAGTGGTGGCTGTTCCTTTTCAAAATAAAACTTTCTCATTTTACTTTCTAAGATTAAATTCTTCGCACCACCAGTTCATAATGCCAACTTCTAATTAGTAGCCATCAAAGCAGTTACAAATTAAACATTCAGATTCTACCATGAGGAACTTGAAAGTGGAAAGCTGCCACATTATTTCAGTAACACAATTTACAGCCAAAACAGTGTTGATACATTGCTTTTTGATTGTTTTTTTTTTTTTTTAACTATTTCATTTGCTGTTTGCTGTGCTCATGTTTCAATCCTTTCCGCTCTGTTGTTGTAAGGGTGCATCACCAAAAAATTAGGTAGGTGGCCTTCTAGAGGCACTGTGCCAAAACATTGCAGTCAGTTTGTGTAATGCATGGGGGCTTTGTATATATCATATTATGTGTGCAGCTGCTTATGGGGTCCTGTGTGGCTGTATATTGTATTGTGTGTGGTGTGTGTGTGTAGGTATGAAGTTCTGCTTGAGGTATTGTGTGTGGTAGTGCTTGTGGGATTGTGTGTGTTGTGTGAGTGATGTGTAGGTGTCTGTGGAATTGTGTATGTATGTGGGTCATATTGTTATTTGATGTGTATATATTTGGAATTGTGAGCGAGCTCAATTTTTTTGTATGGGTGCTGTGTGTGTGGGTGGATGCTTGTGAAGTTGTGTGTATGCAGTTTGTGTGTAATCCTGTGTGTGGTGTTGTCTGCATGTTTTGGGACTTTTTATGGGGTTGTGAATTAAGAATGTATGTATTATTGTTTGCGTGTATGTGGTGTGTGTATGCATGGGAGGCTGATTGGGCTGCTGTCTGTTGGGCTGCTTCCGGGGTAGTGTTTGTTTATGTGGTTTGTATGTCATATTGTGTGTGGTGTTGTGTTTAGGAGGGGGGTTTTGGGATAGAGCATGCTGAAGGCATCTCTTCCTAAGTTAAACAATGCACCTTCCAACTGATCTTAAAGAAAACTATTTATCAGATGGTCCAGTTCTAAAACCTGTATCCCCATTGAAGATACTTGAGATGGTGGACAAGGGTCATCATTGGCACTCTCACTGGTCTACAGCTAAGCATGCATCACATGCATCAATGAGCTTTGGGTCCATTGACACTGATGTTGGTTCACTGATTGTCTTTCCTTGATCTACTTTTGGTAGATCCTAAACTCTGCATACCGGGAAAACCCCACAAGACTTCCCTTTTTAGAAATGCTTTGACTCAATCATCTAGCCATCACTATTAGGTCCTTGTCAAAGTCACTCAGATCTTTTCTCTTGTGGAAAGAGAGTGCAGGGAAGCAGCACCTGTACTAGTTTTTTCAAATCCGAAGTGGTATGGAGAATAATATGAGAAAATCTTAATATAGTGTAGTATATTTTAAATTCTTTGTTGGTATGAATAAAATGAAATGCACTTACAATATTCTGGAGCTTAGGATCAGCTCCAGATTTATGCACCCGGACGTACAATCCCCGTCTGTGGATGTATTGACGGTCCTTGTGCGTCCTTGGAGATCATTTCTCTTG